ACCACAATGAGATACCACCTAACCGAGTAAGAATGGTCTATATCAAGAAATCCCAAAACTACAAATGCTGGCGAGGATGCGGAGAGACAGGAACACTCCTACGCTGCTGGTGGGACTGCAAATTAGTGCAACCTTTGTGGAAAAGAATTTGGAGATACCTCAAACAGCTAGAAATAGAAATACCATTTGACCCTGCAATAGCATTGTTGGGCATCTACCCAAAAGAGCACAAGTCACTCTATTATAAAGACATCTGCATCCGAATGTTTATAGGAGCACGATTCACTATTGCATGGTCATGGAAACAACCCAAGTGCCCATCAATTCATGAGTGGATAATTAAATGTGGTATATGCTCACAATGGAATATTACTCAATCCTAAGAAATGACGGTGAGCTAGGACCGTTCTATGCTATCCTGGATTAAGCTTAAGCCCATTATCCAAAGTGAGGCGACACAAGACATGGAAAATGGGCTCTACATCTACTCGCCATCAAATTGGTACTGAATGATTAAAACTATGGTTTTCAAATGGTGGCAATGCTCACCAGGGATTCGGGGGAGGGGGGAGGACCCAATCTTAGGGATGTGGTGAGCATTTTGGAGGGGAAGGTCATAACTCTAACCCTTCTTAGGGAGAGGCAAAGATATACAATGTAACCAAAATGTCAAAAAAAAAACAACAAAACTTTTTATCGGGTGGTGGGCAGGTGGTAGGGGAGAGGAGGAAAGGGGTGTATGCTTCCATAACGTATGTGATGCACACCACCGGGGGATTAGACACATCGGAGGGAGGGAGGGGGGACAGGGGCAATATTTGTAACCCTAACAGTATTTGTACCTCCATAATATGATGAATAAAAGAAAAAATTAAAAATAAAAAGAATCCCTCTCCATGCATAAACATTCATCTCTTCATTCATCCATTCATTCAACCAATATGCACCGAGTAAGTACCTACAATGCCCCATAATGCGAGGGTTACCAGGTCCTCTGCCCTTCCCCTTAGGCAAGCTAACTAGTGAGGAAGATAGACAAAAAAAAAAATGAAACCTATAATGAATATTTACAAACTCTGCTAAGTGCTATCAGGAAACTGATGCTAGGAGAAAACAAAGTAGGAAGGAGTCTGCCCTGCAGAAGCAGGACTCAATAGGCCCACCAAGGATCACCTCACTTCCTAGGGATATGGACTTCTTCTGCCTTGACTCACTATTTACTCTTGATTACAATTCAATTTACTCTTGAATGCAATATGAGTGTATCTCATAATTTTGAAAGTGTAGATATTAACTTGTAGAAAACTGTTAGCTAACAAGTATTTCTTGTCTGATAGCAATGCAAATAAAGTTCATCTTAGAAAAGAGTACAACAGCCAAGTTGCACTTGTATTGCCCTAGAGGGCATTAATCAGTTTTATATGTAATTCAGCAACCCTATTCCAGTATCCTTTCTTTCCATGACTATAAATATTTCTAACTCTCTATACTTTCTTGAACCAGTTTTATTAATACCATATGCTAGTTCCTTCATTAGTGAATTCATAGGTAGGATGATGGGGGCAGTCTCTGAATCCTAAAGGATGAGAAGGAGCCAGCCATGGAAAAAAGAAAGGAAGAGCAGATCCCTAGGTATCTGCCCTGAGGCAAGAAACAGATCACCCTGAAATGACTAGAAAGTCAGTGAGGATGGGGAACACATAGTGAACAAGGGGGAAAGATTTGAGATGAGCATAGAAAAGTAGGCAGGAATTGGATTATGCAGGGCCTTACAGATCAGTATAGGGACTTTGAAATGTGTACTAAGTGCAATAAGCAAAACACTGGAGAGTTTTAAGGAGGAGGATGAAATAATCTAATGTATATTTTTAAAAAATCACTCTTTCAAAAGCGGTAAAAGAGCTCACAGTAGAGAGGAGAGGATGCCAGGGCACTAATGACAAAAACATTGTGGTACCCAGGTGAGTGGCTGAAGATGGCCTGGTCTAGTCTAGTAGGTACAAATAGATGGAAGCAATAGGCAGTGAGGTTGGAGCCACACTGCCAGAACTTTTGATGGGCTCCAGTGGGGAGTGAGGGAAAAGGAGGAATCCAGGATGACTGCTGGGTTTCTGGCTTGAGCAGCTGTGGATGGTAGTGGCATTCACCAAAACGGGCAAGACTAGGGGTCAGAGGTTAACACCCACATCTGCACAGGTGCATGGCATTCGTGATATGAGGGTATCCACACAAAACTCCAAGTTATGATGCCCTGGGTATGACAGGGCTACCACGGTCTTTCAGATTAGGTTCTCACGGAGCATTCTCTTTGGCCTTCAAGATTTGTGTCATCAGACATTAAGCTAATGGATTTCAAGCAACAAACTGGAAAATTCTAAGTGGCAGCTCAAAGTTTGGCCCAATCTTGCCCCCTTTCTTATTCAACATATGCTGATTACAAATAACTTTTATTTAATAAATCTTTAAATGGAAGAAGATAATGCAGAATTAAGTCTGGGCACACTTAAGCCCTCAGAGGTAAAAGGCAGCATCAGTGTTTGTAAAATCCAACTGAGAAAGCCTTGTATTTGTGAAAAAGTGTTCATCCTTTACACAAGAGATAATTTCAACAATCCTTCTCCCCATTCCCAGGAAATTAAGCTGTCAATCTGGGCACCAATCAAGTAAAAGACATAAGTCTAAGTTAAAATAAGCAACAAAAGTATCAGAATTTTATTCTTGTATACAACAAAGCAGCTCTAACTTTTCCAGAAGATAAAGTTGGAAGATACTATACTAAAGCCTAATGACCATTTATAGTGGAATAAAAACTAACAATGCATACCACAAATCCAAATTCAATGTAATGTAACCTTTAATCAAAGCAAGTGACTACTATGCCTTGCAACAACAAACACCAAATGATGCTCCATCAAGAAACCTATTTCAGAAAACCAAATTCTGCCATACCAAGGGATGCCTTTGGGGTCCGATTTATTTCCCATTCAGAAAATATTCTGTGATTACAGATTAGAGTCAGCACCTCACTAAACAGAAAAGAATTGAGAAAAGGCTATTTTACACAGCAATTAAGAACATGGAGACTAGAGGTGGAACTCCTAGTTCCAAACTCTACTAACCGTGTGTCCTTAGGTAAGTTACTCAACCTCCCTAAAGTTCAATTTCCACAGCTCTAAGATAGGGACCACAACAACTCCACAGTAGAGACTTGCAGTGCCCAGCCATAATCAGTTCTCTCCTGGCAGGCACATGAGAGAATTGTGTTCCCCCCATTTGGTCTGCAGTGAAGCAGATCCATGTGACAAAAGTTCTGGCCAATGCACTGTGAACAGCAGCAGCAAGTCACAACCAAGCCAAAGCATTTAACTGCTAGAGTGAGAAACTCTTTCCCTGTTGTGGCAATTGTGGGAACAGGTGTTGTGTTGGAGGTGCCACAGATGAAGCAGCCAGGATCACAGGGCTACCACATGGAGGGCAGCTGCTCTAGAGAGTCACTCTGATCCACTGCAAAGTGGGAGATGAACCTTTGTCTGATTAAGGTGCTGAGATTGTGGTGGTGTTTATTATCGCAGCTTATCCTAAGCAATGCAAACTGACACAAGTACCTAATTTCCTAGGGTGTTGTGAGGGTTAAATGAGACAGTGCCTGGCACATACTAACCCCTTAATAAATAAAGATTATGATGACCGAGGCCTCCTGATGGTTAGTGCGAAGGCCTTGGTCTCCCATGACCAGCTATGGCATGCTTCTCAGCTATTTGGATTGTCCTACAAGGACCCCATGGACTAACCATAAATCCTGAATCCACTTAGATGTCTACCAGAGACTTCACAGCTGTGAACAGCTCAGTGGTTTTAATCTCAAAATGAAGAAAAGAAAAAAGTTCCTGCATAGCTGTATGGCCATATAAAAGTAATTTGTATCACAGTGAATTATCAAAGGACATGAGTACATCCCTCAAATAATCACCTTCTTCATAAAGATTTTTAAAACGAATACTGAGGCAATAGAAGTAATGCTATTAGTTGGAGACTTTGCTTTTTATTTATTTTTGTTTGTTTGTTTTGAGTCAGAGTCTCACTTTATTGCCCAAGCTAGAGTGCTGTGGCATCAGCCTCACTCACAGCAACCTCAAACTCCTGGGCTCAAGCAATCCTACTGCCTCAGCCTCCCAAGTAGCTGGGACTACAGGCATGCACTACCATACCCAGCTAATTTTTTTTTCTACGTTTTTTAGTTGGGCAATTAATTTCTTTCTATTTTTAGTAGAGACGGGGTCTCGCTCTCGCTTAGGCTGGTTTAGAACTCCTGACCTTGAGCGATCTGCCCACCTCAGCCTCCCAGAGTGCTAGGATTACAGGCATGAGCCACCGCGCCCAGCCGACTTTGCTTTTTAAATTGTGGAAAGTACTCAAGCATATAGTTGGTTGGGGGCAAGGATAGCAAGATAAGAAAATGTTAAATCAGAACTTTGAGAAGATAAATTCATTCTGACAAAATTTTGGTAGCCCTCAAGTACTTAATGGTCATCAGAACAGTGCTTTGGGAACTGGGAATTAAAGGATGAACATATCTGATGTGACTGACAGGGATGAGAGAGAGAAAAGGCACAGTTCCACCCAAACTCTCCCATCACTCCACCCCAATCCCTAACAGAGCTTTAAATGACTTTATAGATACCTCAAGTGGAAAATTAAACTAAGTGTGATTATTTGCCACAGGCTCTACAATTCCTACCTCAGTCTATTCCTGCTAAAGAAGAAAATCTATTTTAATTGCAAGTCAGTTAAAAGGAACTAATCTCAGGTCACTCTCTGAATTTTTCCCCCATTTAAAAAAGAAAGAAAGTAAGCTACCTGTTAAATTCCCTTATTTTATTTTACAAAAGAGTTGGAGGAAGCAAGGAGAAATTCCACAAAAGTTTAAACCCACTAAAAATGGTTCTCATAAACAAGAAACTTGTCATGGACAATAAAACGTATAAATGCAAGATACTCACCACATTTAATACTTTCTATCCGAACAGGGAGGCCAGACTGTGCTGCAGCAATTAATTTCAGAGCAATGTAAAATTGTGTTGGACCGAAATAACCAACCCGCTTTGCACCACACAGTTCTGTGATCTGAAAACAGACAAGAAAAACGATGCTGAAAACCCCATTTCATAACAGGAAAATGAGAGAAGACATATGATGAAATCTCAAAGATTTCACAGCATAGCTAACCAAAAAGTCCCTTGAGAACCTATGTGTACACACTGGTGGGTTTCCTTTTCCTCCAGTATACAGGGAGGTTTTTAATTCAGATCATTAAGTTCTACCTACCTACTCGTGATGTTTCATCAAGACTGAGTAATTGATTATTCCTCCTCTTTCAAAGATAAAAATAAAGGTGACAAAGGATGGCTGTTACTCTTGTTACAAAGAAGAATGACTTTTTCAGGGGGTGGATTCTAATGTACAAAGTCTAGAAAGTCACTGGGATGAAAAAAGAACAGATTAGTCATTAACACGACTCGTGGATTATCCTAGTTTATTAAAATTAAGAGTGAATTAATTATTTGTATAAAGTTCTCAGGTAAAATAACTTCCTAATCATTGAAATTACATCCCGGGCGCCCAATTCAGAGGAATACACACAAATATTTTCAAGACATTGCGATAATTGTTGGTTCCCATCATATCACCTGCAACAAAAACATCCCTCTCCCCACCTAGATTGAACTCCAATGTTACTTCTCTGTAGCTCCTTCCCAAGCCCCCGGTCTAGTTTATTTTCCCAGAGTATTCTCAGAGTACTCGATTCAAATATGTATTAATGTCCATCACATGATACATTGTCTTGGATTTGTTTCAAAATAAAAGGGGAGGGAGAGAAGCTGGGGTGTATGGGTGAAATAAGCATAATCAAGAGTTAGTCATTGTTGAAGTTTGGTGGTGGGTTCATGGGGGTTCATTCTCCTATTCTCTGTACTTTTGAAATTCTCCATATTCATGTTTATTAATGTCTACTTTCACACTTATCACATTATATGATAATTATCTGTTTATCTCTGACTCCCATTAAAATGTCTTCTCTTCAAGGGCAAGGGGCAACTTCCATTCATCTCCTAGCAGAAGGATAGGCACCCAAGATACAATTACTAAATTCTCAATCAAGTAAATGAAGCCTACTCTCAAAAATAAAATGTAACTGAGTTTTATAATATATTCCTTATTATAAATATAATTACACATATTAAGCTATAGGCTAGGCTGTACATGGGGAAAAAAGCACCAATAACATCAGTGTAGTTCCAATATCAAGATAGTTGCCTTGTAGAATAATTCCTTATATTAAGAAATTGTAATCCTCGGTATGTGAACAATTTAACAACTATATTTCAGTGAATGTCAATCTAGTAACCTTCAGTTATTCCTTTACCAAAACTACCATATCAAATTGGAAAGCTCTTAGTAAAGAGCTACTACTACCTGTAGTAACAGGTAGCTGAAATTGCTTAAAACATTTATTATGGTACTTGAAGATGAACACACTAATCTGACATTAGTAAACCACCTTATTTACCTTGGAATCTAGTGGTCCCATATCACCACGAGAATCACTGCTTTGGAGCCAAAGTAGAATATACACACATAAGCCTATAGGTAACTTTCCTTGCTCTTTGTATACCAAACCTCTAAGAGACCATGCCAAGAATTTTCTGAAATACTCAAGCCTCAAGGAAGAGAAAGAATCACAAACCTTTGTAAATTACACATGGAGCCTCATGAACCTGGGACTTCTCAATCAATAAAACAGGTTAATTTTGTAAGGTTTTTCCATTCATCAAGGTTCAAAACATTCTAAGTTTAAAATATCCATGGGAAAGCTCTAAATTGTGGGTAGAAATGGTTTAATGACATCTAAAGAAGATAAGGTGGTGGTTTATCCCAGATAGTCAATTAGCAGGAGGTGTCTTATATAGTAATAATTGCTCCTTCAAACAGTGCAAGTCACTGAGCTTTCCTCAAAATAAAGAAAAAAAAAAAATGAAACGATCCCACTCTTCTTTAGTCTAAACTCCAAGCCTGTAACACTTCTCAGCTGGATCCATCTTTAGTTACATGTTGTGCAAATTTCTAATAAAGAATAAGAATCTATGGACTAGTGCTTATTTTCTCAGGTAGAAAACAAAAGATGAAAAAAAAAGGAATAAATGAAATCAACATCTTTACAGCTTATAGATGTACATTAAACTGCTGGAATGCTGGATACAAACCAGAAAAATTCACTGACCATTTGGGAGGAACCTCGACAAAGTTCTGGAAGGAGGTCGAAGGCCACTAAAACAGCTTGCCTCCTACCTAATTCTGTAAGATTAGGTGGCTATGCTGAGTAACCAGTCCACATGTTCTAATTTGCCTGAAATAATACTTTCTTTCCTAGCTGAAATGCAATAAATGTTCAGAACTGTTCAAAGGTTTAAATAACCTACTCTTTCAAGTATTTTAAAAGGCTTCCTTAGATTTAAAATTTTGTAAACTTTCAGTGGGGGGACTAGAAGAATTCTCCAAGAACACCGCTACTAGTTTCTAGTCTTTGCTATGGCCCGGACTGCTGCAGGTCCCGCCCTCAGACACGTGCGCCTTCACAAGCCCACCTCCACATTCCCTCCAGGATCACTTATTAAAACCGAGTCACCCTCCAACTTCAAAGGGCTTCCAGGGACTTCATTCCCTTCTTATAAAAGTCTTGAGCACAGTTTCTGAGACCCCCATCAGGGGTGGGGAACCTGCGGCCTTAAGGCCACATTGTGGCCTTCTAGGTCCTTGAGTGCAGCCTTTTGACTGAATTCAAACTTTACAGAACAAATCCTTTTATCAAAAGGGTGTAGCTCAGAAAAATGAATCTTTTCTTGCCTCCTTTGCTGCTTAAAAAAGAACAATCTTGCAATCAGACAGCCACGGGTTCCTCACCCTTGTCTGGCTACCTGCTGTGCCGTTTTCCTGAAAACCAAATGTCTCCCCACTTCTTTGCCTGCCAGGGTCATTCTTCAAGTCACCTCAAGACCAATCTTACCTTTGAAACCTCAGTCAATTCCACATGGCACATTTTCTGCATTCTCTTAACACTTTTTACTAGCTTTCTATCACATCACTAGCCTTGCAATATAGCAAAATTGTTAGATTGGTAATTATCTCCACTGGACCCCATCTCCCTCCCCCACACTCCAAGCGTCCAGCACATGGCAAGAGAAGTCTTTCTCTTCCTTGAGGCAAGAGTATATTTTGTCATTTGTATCCTCCAGGACTGATACTTTATGATGCTTGCTATACACTGAGCTGTTCAATGAATGTTTGTTGAAATAATTAGTTTTCACAACGTGTAGTAGCAGAATCACTCTTCTTTCTCTCACTTTGTAATTACTTTTACAAGTGGCTGCTAAGGCTGCTTAAATTGGCTTTAGTCATCTCACACCATATAGCCATACAAGTTCCTGCAGGAATATAAGAGAATATTAACTTCTCTGTTCCCTTCCTGCTTAGCTACGAGGATGCTGGTTAGGGTCAAAGCCTAAGGAAGGGCATCCACCATTCTTTATCCTGGCCCTAGGCCTTATAGCCCAGGAGAATACCTGAGGGGTGCCTCCACTGCTCGGCACTCCAGAGATGTACTTCCTTCTGCTCAGCACACCCCCAAGAGGTGTTAGCCCCCAACTGAGCACACTGGACAACAGAAATACAGAAGACACCCTGAGGTACATGCTTACAATTTGTACCTCAGTCTCTCAGGAAGCAGTTAAAGAGGCAGGTCGACTATATGCTGGGTTTTCCTTTACCATTCATTTATACTTTCTAGCATTCAAGAGAGACTTGCAGTCCAGAGGGACCCTGGTGAGCTACTTCAGAAAACATGAACCACTACATCCAATTACCCAACATTAGGTACTATAGTATATGCCTAAGCCAAACCACACTGCTAAAGAGAGGGCAGGCCGGGCGCGGTGGCTCATGCCTGTAATCCTAGCACTTTGGGAGGCCGAGGCGGGCGGATTGCTCGAGGTCAGGAGTTCGAAACCAGCCTGAGCAAGAGCAAGAGGTCAGGAGTTCGAAACCAGCCTGAGCAAGAGCAAGACCCCGTCTCTACTATAAATAGAAAGAAATTAATTGGCCAACTAATATATATATGTAAAATTAGCCCAGGCACAGGCTGAGGCAGAAGGATTGCTTGAGCCCAGGAGTTTGAGGTTGCTGTGAGCTAGGCTGATGCCACGGCACTCACTCTAGCCTGGGCAACAAAAGCGAGACTCTATCTAAAAAAAAAAAAAAAAAAAGAGGGCAAACACGCAGTGCTGAGGTATGATTTCAGACCTAGAAGCCTACTAATACCTTAAAGTACTTATGAGTTTAAAAATGTATTGGGCACCTCCCCATGAAAAGCAATGTGCTTGGTGCTATAAGAGCAACTGAGCAGCACTGAACAGAACAACCTACTCTACACATGCTCACTCCTTCCCACTCTCTTTGCCAAACCATTTGAACAGTAGGTTACAGACACGCCTCATGACACACCACCCCTAAATTCTTTATTATTCACCTCCTGATAACAGGGATATCCTCCTACATTACCACACCATCATCGCCACACCCAAGGAAATCAACATTAACATAATATTATCAAACAATGCATGGTCCACGGGTTTCCTCAATTATCTTGAAAATGGCCTATAGAACTGGATTTTCTTTTCCTGATCTAAGACTTAATCAATGCTCATGTACTGCATTTTTTATCTCATGTTTCCTTAGTCTCCCCCTAATCTAGAACAACCTCCTTTGGTTCTTAATGACACTGAATCCTTTCGAGAGTCCAGGCCAGTTGTCTTCAGAATGTCTCACATTTTGGATTTGTCTGTTTTCTCGTGATCACATTCAACTCAAACATTTCTGGCAAGACCATCACACAGGTAATACTGTGATATAGTGAGAAGTACATATGAGTGATGGGCACATAATGTCAGGACATAAACCACTGCTATTGACTGGCAAGCATGGCCATTTGATTAAGGTGTTGACTGATAGATCACTCCATTGCAAAGACATGGTTTTTATGTTATACTTTAAGACCATGTGGGTGTTCTATC